GGGATCCAAATGCTCCCCAGGCCCAAGGCAGTCAGAGGGCTTTGTTTCCATCCAAATAAGGGGTATTTTACAGATCTTGGGTCCAGCAGGAATCTCCTCCCTGCAAAACATCACACTGCCAAGACAAGGAGGACAGTGCTGGTCGAACAGAAAAATCCAGGGCATGGATGAGGGGAATTTCTCTGAGAGAGTCCAGCAGGTGGACAGACTTCTCACCTGTAAGCTCCAAAGGGCTTGGGATTTATACTGCTCCATTTCAGCCAAGCAGGTTCGGGAAGAAAGACTGAGAGCCGGGAGAACAGCACCCCCCTCTCCAGGAGCCATCCAGAGCTAGTACCACCGTAAGTAACGACGATGTAGCCGAGCACTGCCTGGAGCTCAGGGGAGGCCAGCAGCTGCTTCAAGACCTCAGACAAGCTCTGGGTGGATGCACGAAGGAACGGAGAGAAACAAGTCAGCAGCCCACACTTGTTGAGGAGCTGAACCATAGGCAACGGGAAAAGCTTCAGCAAGATGGCAAAGATGACTCCACTGGACACCGCCCAGGAAAGGAAAAGGGCGTGAGGAACAGGCCTCAGCTCTGGGAACCATGGGGCACAGTCACCATTCCAGTAGCCTGCACCCACCCAACGGCCCAGCAACACTTCCCCTGGCTGAGTTCTGCTGAATTTGGATTTTTATAAGAATCTGTAGCATGAATTTTTTCCCTTTCTACACTCAAATGAGTCCTTTTTACCCTAATTTTTTTTATTGTGGTAAATATGTACATAACCAAACATTTGCCATTTCAACAATCTTCACATGTACAGTTCAGTGATGGATGACATGTCCATCTATCACCCTATCTACTCCCAAGTTTTCCATCACCCTTAACAGAAGCTCAGTGTCCCCAAAGCACTGTGTCTTCCTTCCCCTCCCTCCAGCTCACCCCTGCTAACCACCAATTAACTTTGGTCTCCATACACCTGCCTATTCTAGACATTTCATATAAGTAGGATCATACGGTATTTGTCCTTTTGTGTCTGACTTATTTCACTCAGCAAAATGCTTGCAACATTCATCTATGTTGTAGCAGGTATCAGGACTTCATTTCTCTTTATGGTTGAGTAATATTCCATTGTATGCATGTACCACATTTTGTTTATACATTCATCAGATATTTAGCCTTTTCCACCTTTATGCTAATGTGAATAGAGCTGCAATGAACATTGGTGTACAAGTAACAGTTTATGTTCCTGCTTTCAATTCTATTGGTATACACCTGTTGACCTTTTGGTTAGCAGCCATAACTCTTAACCACTGCACCACCAGGGCTTCTGACATATACCTAGGAATGGAATTACTAGATCATATGGTAATTCTGTGTTCAAATTTTTGAGGAACTGCTAAACGTTTTCTACAGCAGCTGTACCATTTTACAATCCCACCAACAACAGATGAGGATTCCTGTTTCTCCACATCCTCGCCAACACTCATTGTTTTACGTTTTTTTAATCATAGTTATCCTAAACCAAATAAAACTAAACCCATTGCCTTCGAGTCGAGTCCAACTCATAGTGACCCTATAGGACACAGTAGAACTGCCCCATAGGGTTTCCAAGGAGTGCCTGGTGAAGTGGAACTGCCAAGCTTTTGGTTAGCAGCCAAACTCTTAACCACTATGCCACCAGCATTTCCATAGTCATCCTAGTGGGTATGAAAAGATATTTCATTGTGGTTTTCACTTGCATTTCCCTAATGACTAATAACATTGAGCATTTTTTCATGTGCTTATTGGTTACTTGTATTTCTTCTTCGGTTAGATGTCTATTCAAGCCCTTTGCTCCTTTTTTGATTGGATTGTTTGTCGTTTTGTTGTTAAATTGTAAGAGTTTATATATTCTGGATATTAAGCCCTTATCCAATATACACATGAGTCCTCTTTAGTCATTTAGTTTCCTGCTCAAATTCCTTTTGAAATTTTTCGATCTGGCCCCACATGAAGTGAAAAGAGCAGTGATCTGACCACATGGAAGCCAGCCTAGTCAGGGAGAGCAGGGCGCCCCCGAGGGGCCACAAGTGAGAGTGGCAGCTGCTGAGCCAAGGCTCCAGAGACAGAGGGCCCAGCTGGACAGAGAGGTGGACTCAGGCAGGGGCTGAGTTCAGGATAGACGTGTTCCTCCCTTCCTGCCTCCCCCACCAGTCACTCCACTAATGAATGTCAGCCAGCCTTGTAGGGGATAAAACTGGGATCCTCAGCATGTCCATGTTACCTTAACCAGCTTTATGTACTTGTCCATGGCAGCTTCTTCTTGAGGAAACTTCTCCTTGAGGCCCTGAACATAGGCTTTCTCCCCGCTGTACATGGGGAACTCCTTCCGGCCATTGGGCCCTTCTAGTACCATAATGTCAAAGGGAGAGGACATGGCAGCCCAGTCCAGCTGCCCCTCGGTGATCTGGTCCAACATAAAACGGCCAGTGCTGCC